TGACCACTTAAACCTAAACAATCTAAGAGCTTGTTTGGAGGTTCTAGAAGGGAGTGCAGCTACTCTAAAGACCCTTGATCAGAGAATGGCTCTCCTCTATGAGGAAAAGTTGTCCTCTTCATCCCAGCAGTATCAGCAGTCTCACGGAGCAGTGAGGAAGGGGCACCAACCCAGCCAACCAGATCAGCCAAGTCAACCTTGGCAATCCATGGAGTGACACGTCATGGCCAGATTGCCCTTACATTATGGCTTATGTCTACACGCCCTCCAAGCTTCATGCAGCCTGGGGGACGTCTTCTCAGAGGTGGCTGGATCTAGGGTGTGTGGTGCTGGGATCAAGGGTGTGAGAGAGCAAATCACTCCACGATGGTTTGGCATAGTTCTGGCTGGGATTAAGGATGTGAGTGCTACACCCACCCTAGGGCAGGAAGCCTGCATACAATGTAAGTGACAGAAAGAGGACCAAGGTGCTCTTGCCTGCCTACTTCCTTGCCATGGACCATTTTTCTCCACTGAGATGGAGAAACTACCCTGCAGCACTGCTGTGGAGCCAGCCAACTACGGACTGAAACCTCTATGAACTATGTAAGCTGAATAACAAACCTTTCCTCTTTTACTTTGGGTGTCCCAAAGTATTTTGTCGCAGCAATGAGAAAAGCAACTAAGACACCTTACAGCCCTAAATCTGAACACTCTAAGAGTAACAAGAGGGAACTTTTAATAATTATACAGGGTCCACTTCCTGTCTCAGACAGATCAGAATATCTGACCACTTCTATTTTTTTGAGTCCACTGCTATATTCTGGACACTCAGAGATGACTTGAGTCACTTACTCCAGTAAGCAGATGCATCTTTTCCCACTTAGAAAGGAGTTTCAAAAGCAAAACTGGCATCCTTTTACCATTGTTTCCAACTCCAGAACCTTCCCACTCTACCCTCATGTTCAAAGCCCTGTGTAACACCTCCAGCTGTGTACCGTTTCCACTCATTGACATCTACCTGCTTGCTCCCCATCCTTGGCACCTGGACAGACTTCCCTCCAGCCCAAATCCCACCGCCCTCTGGTTGGCTCTGATGTCTAACTTGTAGATGTCATCCAATTTTGAGGCCTTATCGCCCTTAACCCCTTCCACTTTGAGGCTCTCTGGCTTCAGTCACTGAGGCCATGACTATACCCTATAATCTTCCTCCCCTTCCCTCTGCTCATTCCCTCACTGCCATTCTCCCTGTTCTGCGTCACCAAAACCACTAGCCCTCTAACGCCTTCACAGATGCAGTTAGCAGTGTGTTGGTGCACACTTAACCACCTGGTCTGTGGGGAAATCAGGGATGCTGTATATACTGTAAAGTTCTTAGCCACCTACTGATGCAAATGATGTGCAGTGAACGTTTTACAAATAAATGGTCTTACACTCCAGTCCACCAACTTCTCAATAAACTTGTACGACATGATTTAACTGTTAAAACTACTTTTCACCCTCAAATTATAGTCATGATGTTAAAACTATTCACTTCCTTACAGCAGTTGCACACCATTACGTGTTATTACAGACTGAGGATGTGGTTACCCTTAGTTTATCAGAGTAAAATGTTATTGTTGTTAAAGTAAAATGAGTATTTACTATTATTTGTAGATATAATAGTAAGTTTATCTGATTTATTAATAATGGAGTATTTAAAATCAGCTCAAAAGATTTCCACAAGTGTAGTCATCCATTCCCGAAGTGGACACCGGGCTCCAGCACTGCACAGTGGCCCCTTGACGTTGGTCTTTTCCTCTCCTCCCTCCTTCCTTTATAAATGGATAGCCCAGAAAGGGCACATGGAGTTGGAGACCTCCACAGTACTCTGGACTGGGTAAGGTCAAGGTCAAGCTAAATTGTCTACAAATATCCTTAGTACTGAAGCACCATGAAGAACATCCTGTAGTACTTATGAAGTTTCTAAGAGCATAGGATCCTAGAAATCTCCTGAAGCACAGGATCTGGTTAAGTTGTCCACACATTTCCTTGCTTAAAAGACAGAAGGCCCTAGCCAGGTGTGGAGGCGCACACCTGCAATCCCAGTCCTCGGGAGGCTGAGGCAGGAGGATCATTGAGAATTCGAGGCCAGCCTGGGCTACAAAGTCAGTTCAAGACCAGTCTAAACTGCATAGTAAGACCCTGTCTCAATAAAGACATAAAATAAAATAAAATAAAATAAAATAAAATGCTGCCCTTGGGGGCTGGGGATCTAGCTCAGTGGCACAAGTGCCTGCCTGGCAAGCGCAAGGTCCTGAGTTCAATTTCCAGCACCAAAAAAAAAAAAAAAAAAAGGCAAAAGGACAAACTACAAACACACAAAGTCACTGAAACAAACCAAGCAACTCGCCTACATACTCCTGCAACTCTCCTACATAATCCTGCAGCAAAAGGCTGTCCAGAAGCCCCACTAAGGAAACAAATCCTCAAGGCATCCTTATTACATAAGCAACGCCAAGTCACAGGAGCAGTCTTTCTCCCCAACACAAGAGGCCATTCAGACATTACCTCACCTTCTAATCCCATCAAACCTGTGAGGTGGGTGGCAGGTGGTATCCTAATTTACCTATCTGAGGAAATCACTGCCTCAGCATAGAGAAGCTTCCCACTCTGCACATACTCGTGTGTCCTCAGCACCAGCACAAACTTAACAGGGATCTCTGTAGCTTATTCTGCAACTAAGCACCAATGTGCGTATGGACCTCCCCTCTGTCCTTCGGGAGAACTATCACCAGGCAGAAACACCTAGTCTTACATGGCCCAACAGGTGCCCTATTGGAAGCAGCTATCTCACCTTGTCATCTCACCTAGGCAGTAAAGTCACAACCCCAAAGACATTTGTAGACACTGTAGCAACTAAAAACCCGACACATACCACCTACAACTTTCATAGTTTGGGGGCTTTTTTGGTTTTGTTTTGGTTTGCTGGGACAGGATTTTGCTGTGTAGCGCAGGCTGGCCTGGAACTCACGGCGATCCTCCTGCCTCATCTTCCTGGGTGCTAGAATTACAGGCGTGCACCCCTACACCCAGCTCCACTTTTACGCTTTGTGAGAACTCTGCAAGTTGCTAATCTGGGAACTGGAGTTCATGGAATACATGAAGATGTCCTTTTTCTTCAATAAGAATTTAAGTCTCTACTTTGTACCAGTGGTTCCAGCACAAACAAGACTCATCTGGGGGACATGTGAACACACAAAGGCAGTGATAATGGCCAAAATTCCTTTCAGAGTTCATGGAGTATCTGAGGACAGCAGGAGTGTCCTGCCGTTAATCAAGCCAAGAACAGCTGGCCTAAGTCTCGGGAAGCTGGCCCCAGCCTCTGTTTTGCCCTTCTTCCTGTAACAGGTAAAAGCCTTCTCGGTACGGAACTTCTTCCTGTCACAGCCATTTGGCCAGCAGCACCTGAACAAAAAGCTTCCTCTGCCAGTTGCCTTCAAAAACTGAAGGTTAACTTCTAGATACCCAAAGGCACTGTAGCTTCCTTGGTCACAGGCTCCTCAAGCCTTCAGCTCCTGCCCTGGTGGGCTCCATTTCATGTGTGGTTTCCTGATGTACTGTCCGCTACCTCTGAGGCTTACCTGCTTCCCTTCTTTCTGCAACCCAGCATACACCTACCTCCTTTTCTACACAACCAGGAAGTTCATTTTCCAGTAAAACTTGAAAACACTCTGGAGTCTACTCATATGTTACCGACAGAGTGATTTTTACACCCCAAAAAATCAAATAAAAATTATAATTAAAAACTCTACCATGAATACACTCTCGGAGACTTCCACCCAACTACAGGCCCCAGCCTCTTAAGAAGCACTATCGAATGACAGGTTCAACATGTATGCGACAGTGCCGACTTCAAAGCCTGCCACTAAGTATATTTCTTGGTTCTTCTCTCCACCTACCCAGCTTAACCATACCAACTGTGGGAAGTTAACTAGAACTGTCCCTGTTACAGGTTATCTCAAACATAGAAAAACAAGAGCTAAGGCAAAGTCTTCCAGTGTTAGAAAAACAAGAGCTAAGGCAAAGTCTTCCAGTGTGGCTGGTTCACAGGTCAAGAAACAATGCTAGATATACATCCTGATTCTGCCCCTAACAGCTAATGTAAAACCTGGAGACATTTTCTATAAATACACCGAGGGTCATGAAAAGAGGCAGCAATTTAGAGTTCTGGCTGTATAATCCAGGTGGTTTTTTTGCATGCAGACTAGATGAGTAGTTTTCAAACTGATCCCTGCATATGCCTCAGATCAACCCAGGAATATTTTTGTCTGTTCTACACACTGAGCTTCTGATTTGTCTTTAAAAGAAAAAAAGGGTCCCACTGCAGAAAGAGGCAAAAAACAACCCTGCAAGCTGACTGACCTGATGTCTAAACAGAAAAAACACTAGCAACAGATTTTCTTGTTACCGGAACTCATACACTTGCTTGCCTGGTACAGAGTCAGAAGGAAGCAGGACTGGGCTTTGGATTTGTTTTAAATTAATTGTAACCACATGAATGGAATCCTAGGTCATCTTTCAGAGGTTTTCTGGAAAGAACAATCAGGGGAACTTTGGAAATGCAGTTACTGAAAGAAGTGATCCACCTTAAGCAAAGTGTGTAACCATGACGGGCATGTCCGGCCTTGGGAAGGTATCGGTTCCATCCACAGCCAGGACCCTTCGGAACTTGCTTCTACCTGGTTTGCTCACCTCTAGCAGTCTGTTCTGATGTTGGATTTAATATGCCTCAGGATCCCTAGACTAGATGAAGTTTCATACATTCTAAAGATAAAGTGCTCCAGGACCATTAGCACAGATTGTACTGCTCTGTCTCTGGGGGCCTCGGTTTGATCCTAGAGGAACTGTTACCCTTTTCCTCCAAGGGAAATACCAGTTTTGAATAAACCATGATACTGTGGTTGACAGTATTTGGTATCTAACACAAAAATCCCTTGTAAGGAGCTTACTCCGAACAATTAGGAAAGAAAGACACCAAACCATTTAAAGATAATTTATATACATTTATGGCTTTATACAATTATAGCAAAGATTGTTCTTGTACCTGTAAGTACATCAGCATCATCAGGCACTTCTCAGAGAGTATCGAAACAGAAACATGGAATCTGCACTGCTACTAAACTCAGTGGCAAAATGCGGGAGAGTGTGACTATCCTGACGGGACTTACACGGCCACCGCTGGCCACAGTGCCAGGCCAGTCCCCACCTCAAGGAGGGGCTGTTATAATGCCAGGCTGCTCTGTTTGCATAAAACACACTGCACATTTTACTGATTATTCTCAAACTAAAACCACAGGAGAAATTTCTCATTTAAAACCAGTTATAAGTTAGGAATTCTTAAGAGCTCAAAGTAAGAATTTTGAATTTGGGGGAGGTAAGGGGAGTACTGCTAATATAAACCCAGCAGTTGAGTAAGCCCACATTGTACAGTTTTGGACAACTATTTCCATTTTAAGTGTCCTCATCCTCTTCATAAGATGTTCCATTGATTTACTGCTCACTGGGATACAACATTGCTAATTAACCTAGAATTTGTCAGTTTGTCAAAGGAGAACTTTACCAAGTAATGCATCTATTACCTAAATATATTCCATACATCTATATTACGGAAACAATACATCTTTATATTTAAAATATCTGAATAGCTCTATAATACAATATGCTTTTAACAACAGTACAAATTGGAGGAAATAAATCAAACAAGGCTGCATAGGTGATATCATATGCACATTTCACAAAGCAATCATGTACAATAATATACTAATTACTCCAGAAAGTCAGTATTCTTGCAGAAAAAGAACTCCCGGAGGCCACATGATGTTCATTTTCAAAACAGATACCTTTCCTTGGACTTCACTGTACCCCTGAGGGCTACTCAGGGCTCATGTTAGGATTCCAACCCAAAGGAAAATGAGGGTGAGGAAAAATTCAGACAGACTCAGAAGGAAGAAACATCTTCCAAAGTCCCTTTAGAAGGAGTAAGATTTTAATGGTGATTTTAGCGGTTGTTGGCTGCCTCTATGACCAGCAGAATAGGAGCTCTGTGGCTCCTTCAGTAACGATGAAGCAATGTCACACACAGGAGGAAAGTGGAAGAATGGACAGGGGCCCAGAACCGAGCACATGAGTTTTCTGACCCCAGTAATTTCTAATATGCAGGAGGCACTTCTTACAGAAAAATGGGTTTTTTACACCAAGTCAGCTTTGGAGTGCCCCAGGAAGATGGTCAGAGGGGGTGATTACACATGTTTGAAACACTGAAGGTCATGGTAGAAAGCTTATCATGCAGTTGGCCTTTCAGCAACACTTGTGTTCTTATTACACACCAGGGAAAAAAACACACCAGAAGGGATGCAATTAACATACAAGATACAGAAATAAGTACGATCAGACTGTGTACTGAGAAGCAGAGTCTTCTCCAGAAGACCAGAGAACCGTTCCTCCCTTTCTGGTGGCCCTGGGCTTTCCACATGACTGAAACAGCAGTAGAGTGAATGGGAGGCAAAGCCAATGACCCTGATCTGTCAGTTACAAGTAACTGTAACGTATTAAAATACAATGATTGCAGTATGGTATGGGCTGCTACCGGCTGAAGAAATACTCAAATTCTCAACCTAAGATAAGGCTTTTAAAATCACTTCAAACCTGTAACTTAAAAGCTGGTTGGTTGGTTTTCAAATTAACTCCCCTTATTTTTAAACAAGTTCAAGTTCACTTGATAGACATATCTACTTAGGAACACAACCATTCTAAAAGTCACTTTAGCTCCATTTCTGCACTCCCTCCTTCAATTTAAACTTTGAAAGACAGAAGAAAGACCGATGGAGAGTGAGGAGTGACATGACTCCTCAAGGCAGAGCTCCAAGTATCTATTCCAAAAAGGTATCTACAATTCAGTATCTATTCCACAAAACCGACCCCAACCTAGACTGAAACAAGAGCAGAGATTTTAGGGAAATTTTTGCTAAAGCACAACTCAAAATGGTTAGGTTGACCAAGACTGCCAGGGAACTATTTTACATGTAGGTCTCGCTTTCTGATCTACAAACATTATGAGGCCTCGCAGGAATAACTGTAACAACGCAACATACAGGTATCTACCAGAGGAGACACTACGCAGTGCACACAGTTCACAATGTAATCGAAGCAGGTGGGATTTCTTTAAAATACGTACATAAAAACATATTTAGCTCTTCTAAATACAAAATGCAAAGTGTCCATAACTATACATCACTTTCCTGCCCATCAGGGCCAGAAACATTGAGTATGCAAGTACTAATTACAATGATTTAAGATTAGTCAGAAACACCACCAAGTAGCATCTGAAAGTGTACAAACCAGTTAAGCACATACAAAATTAGTACTAATCCAGTTAGAAATACAAAATGAAAATTACGAATGCTGTCCCCCAAATACCTGTGATTCCACAAATTTACAAGCGGACAATGTAACAAAGTAGACTCTAGTTTTAAGAAAACATTACAATATCTATTCCAAAAATGATCTCAAGTCCCAACAATGACATCAAAAATCATTTATCTGGAAATTAGAACCATTTCAAATGTTTTTACAAATTTGCAAATAACAAAATAAAAAAAAAAAAATAGAAAAGACCTGTACAAGGCTGGCGCTTAATCTATTTTTTTTTTCCCAAAAAAGTCTGACAAGTCCATTAACTCAGCAGATCGGTAACAGGCTCCTTGGTTCACATGTGCCTCCTGCGGCACGTGCACAGGTCCGAAGTCACTCGGTGGAGGTGTAGGACATCTCAGTTCTTTGTGATTCATCACTTCAGCAGAACACAGGTAGTAAAAACAAATGTTTAACTTACCAAGACATGATCACAGTATTACAAAAAGAGTATAAACTTTCCTTGGACCAAATGAATATATAAAATAAAAAACAAAACAAAAAAAAAAAACAAAAAAAAAACACAAATACAATTTTGTATCCACTGCTTATATACAAAACCTGAAAGCATACCAGGATCCCCAAGTCTTTTCTGCAGTATATGGTGTAGTGAGTTTGGCACTTCATTGTAAAGAAACTTCCAATGGCACAGTCCTTATCTACAGTAGCACATAAGCTGCAAACACCAGGCAAACATCCTGCACAGGAAAAGTAACTTTGCTGCCAACTCTGATGAAAGGAAAAAAGGAAGGATTTTTTTTTTAAATCAAGAAAACCAAAAGGATGGGTGAAGGACATCTTTGGACTGCTTCTTTCAGTTCCTGCTGTCAGACAATCTGAATGACTTTGTAGCCTAGGAAAAAACATACACACACAATGAAAATAGAGTCAAATTAAATTAATTAAATTTCACAAATGAGGGCGACAGACATACTTGTGGGGAAAAGTTAGACCTTTCTCAAACAGCTCTAAAATCAGTCAATGGCAAAACTTCTATTTTAAAAAAACCTAGTATTTGATTTGTATCGAACATATTTATTTATTGAAGAGCTACTAAAAAGATGGAGCCACTAACTGTCAAAAGAAAGTATTTAAAGCAGTGGCAGAAAGCTTTGTTATGGTTAAATTTGAAGGGAAAATTGATAGGCTGCAAAGGGTGGGGGCAGAGAATGAATAATAAAAGACATCTCTCTGCAAGGGGCAGCTGGTTAACATCAAAACATGCTAACCATAGAAGACAGAAGGCAAGATACTATGCTCCTCTCTTTTACACTCTTCTTTCTCAGGCCTTCCAATACTACGGTGAACTTACCTGCTCGCTAACTCTTAGCCTGACACCCAGCTGTGTGTCGTCGTCTTGACACTGTGTGAGAAGCTTTGGTTGGGCAACACATTGTCAAAGTTAAAATCCAAGGTATCTCCATCCATGAGGTCATTCCGAATGATGGACTCCATGTCACAATCCAAACGCTCAATAAACATGCCATCCAAGTCACTTGGGAGCTTCTCCTGGTGGAGAATGCCCATCCTGCCATAACCGTTGCAGCTGCTCACCGAAGAATAGCCCAGGGCACTCATCTGCATGGGATGGGTAAGAGGCACTTGTAAAGGTGTCTTCACTGGGGTCAGGCGGCTCATACCTGAGGTATGAGGCATGGTGTTCACTGCGTGGGGCAGGGAGCGCCCATTACAGGCAGATGTTTGCTGGGCGTGTCCAGGGTGGGTATGGGAGTTGGGATTCATCATTTTGTTGTGAGATGCCTGGTTGCCATAGGTTGGCATGACCGAATTAGGGCCCATCATCACATTCTGGCCCAGGACCCGGCTACTGGGTTGAGCTACCCCAGGGTCAACTGGTGACATAATGTCATTATGGGGAGGAGAGTCAGAAGTAAGTAACTCCTTTAACAGGCCTGGGGCACAGTTATACTGATTCAATCCTCCATAATTAGATTTGTTGTCCTGAAGGCTTTGCATAGGCATCTGGGGCAAAGGGCTCATGCTGGATTGGCCGTATGTGTACTTTTGGTAGTTTGGATTGGGGGAACTCAGACTGGTGTTTGGCGGTGCAAAGGAGTAACACGTTGTCTGCTGCATCATGCTGCCAGGTGAAGACTGGGTTGAAACAGTTAATGGTGTTGGGGATGAGAGAAGGTTGAGATTATCCAAAAGGTTTTCCATGTTTTCAGGATTGCTTATTTCAGACAGACTGGGCAGAGTGGAAGCCATCTTTGCCGCAGACGGCGGGTATACTAGAGAGTGCACGTCCCCATCTCCCAGATCATCCTGTTCCGTCATAATGGGGGACAGCCTCCCGCTGATAGTACTAGCATTTGAGCTAGTTCGAGGGCGAAATGTACTCCAGTTATCAAAGTCATCATTGCTGTGAGAGCCAGGGCTTGCAGGCCATTTGGAAAACTGCGATCCAGGACTGTCCCCAGCACCCTCCTGGCCAGCCTGGAGGGATGATTTTTTCTTAGCAGCTCGGCCTCGACTCTTAGCAAATTTACTGTTGTTGTCCATGGACGCAGCCCTTCTCCTGGGGGATTTCCCACTCTTGCCTCCTTCTGGATTGAGCATCCACCAGGAACTTTTCCCAGTTCCTTCATTCTGCACACGAATGAATTTGCTGTGCAGGGACAGATTATGGCGAATTGAATTCTGTAAAGCAAAAGACGTCATGTTAGAAGGACAATACTTTTCCACTTGGGAAGCTTACTATTCCACATGTATCATGTGGAAGACAAGTAACATTTTAAGAGTTCCTGGTACAAATTTCAATGGAAACACTCATTAGAGCTCTGGACCCACTACAAAAGATCTCAAATGGACATACAAAAAGCAGTACCATACCTTAAAAATAGTATCTATCTTTAATTATGTTAAATAAGCATGATTAGAAATACTTTCTTTTATACAGATATGTTTCATGGGCAGATTACAGGATCAGTTTTCAAACCAACTAAGTTTTGCTCATCCACAATGCTATGCAAATAAGAATCTGTATCAAAAGTGTCATCAAAAGCTTTTCCACTCTATTACTCCTAAAATTCCCAATTCTCTACAGAGGAAACATATGCCATTTACACAAAGTGAGAGGTTTTATATCACTGGGCCCATATGATTATGGGAGAAAAAGATGAAACTAGATATATTCCTACTAGAGAATTAAAAACCTGAAAACTAGTGAGATCTAGATTGATTTATATGTTCAAAGTCCATTAGGCAAACGTAAGTTAATAAGAAGAAAATGGTCATTTTCTATTTGAAAAGTCAATCACCTAAAAAAAAAAAAACCCAAAATTTAAATTCAAGTAGTATAACCAGAAGCATACCAACTAACTCCACGACACTGCATCGAGGGTTATACTCTGTCCAAAACAACAGCTACAGAAGGGAAATGGGTGGAGAACATAGTTCTAAGGCGTGCTTCTGCACTCCTATCCACAGGGCTGTGGGTAGTTTAGCGAAATTACACATAAAAATTCACAACTACAAATATGTGGGAAAGTCGGGCCACGATCTCTAAGGGTTCAGCTGCAGTCCCAGAAGCCCAATGTGATTCTCCTATTCAACACGCAGCCAGACATCTGGCATTTGGTTGTGTCTGTGGAATACCTCTGGGAAAAAAGTGGGAAACAATCTGAGCTCCTAAGAAGGAGGGATCCATCTATCAGTCCTACTAGCTTTTGCCCCAGCACAGCATGGGGCAAAGTCACTACTGAGTTCAGCAGCCTCACCATGTCTGGGAGCAGGATTCTGGGTTCCTTAAACCACTGGGGAAGGAGCTATGTGCACAGCTCCCAGGCTTTCTTGGCCCCCTCTGCCAACTGGGCGTAAAGCTCAGCTGACCAAGCACTCTGTCTCCCTGCAGCACCTCTTCTGGACCACAAAAAAACCTCTGGTTGAATCTGTGGTCACTTAGGGAGGCAGCCACAATGCCCACATCCGCATGCTGTTGTCATGGGACAAAGATGCCCAAGTGCCAACCACTGTGTCAGAATATCATCTCTGCACAGCAGGTCAGGGCCAGGCCCCTCCACAACACTGAGTTATCTTTTCTTACGGAAAGGCACAAAACAGAACAGGGGCACGGAGATCTCACTTTCTAAAAGGAGATGAAAAAGTCAGAAGGAGGCCCAACAACAGCTGAGAAATCGACATTTCAGAATGCCTTCTGACCCTTTGTGCCACATTCCGCCCAAGAATTACAACACAGCAAGCCTTTCTGCCAGGCACACAGTGAGTGCGTCTCAGACATGGCCACTCAGGAGCTTTCCGCAGGATGCTGGGCAGGTGGGCTGGGCATGGCAGGCATGGTCTCCCATTTCTAAGACTTCCCATTTTCTTCCCTCCTAGGATCTATACCCAACTCAAGACACGCTGTGAGGACACGGTCCATACAAAATCCCCCAAAGAGGCTAAGGAATGCGTTTCTCTCATATCCTATTCATTCCAAAGATTCTCAAAATCTCATGGGAAGGCACTAACACATGAGCATGCACACATACACATGTGTGCTTACAAAGCCAGGGCCTCAAGTGCTATGTGCACCAACACAAGAAACCCAAGTTCTCCTCTCCTCCTCCAAGTGGCAGCCTGTATGGGGTAGTGCTGGAACGCCGCCAAGCACGACACTCTGGGACCTGTCTACATGCTGGAAGTCTGGGCATATGCACACTATCCCATCACGATGGCTTTGTTCTTTGGACACAATAGACACACAGATAAGCTCCAATGAAATCTCTGGAGGAGAGGAAGCCTGACTCCTGTTCCTGTCACATTTAATTAATAAGGGAGGAGAACGATCATCTCAGATAGCAGCTTCCTGGTTGTCTGCACTGACTCGGGTGGAGGGTGCTGCTCTATACCATCAAGATGGTTCTGTCAGACACACTGGCAAGTACAAGTGGGGGCACTTTTAACAGAACCACAGAAGAGGGAATAATGAAATCTTTAAGAAAATTCAAGAACACTGACTGACTCAAGTGAGACATACACTAACTACTCAGACTTTGTTCTTTTTAAGGCTACAGCAATCCCTTACTTATCAAAACATCATACTACGTATTTTTCTAAGAGGACATTTCAGGTCACTGAGTAACAGAGCTGTCTACTGCCTTTGCCAACAAATAAAAAAATTTTTTTCCGAACAGGAAAAGGTTTGCTGTGCAGGGTTTGTTACATAAATTCCTGTTTTTCACACAGCCAACAGAACATTAAAGAAGCCATGATTTCTGGAGGGGCAAGACTTGGCAGTGCCTCTTGTGAAAATACGTGCCACTAGTACTGGCATTTGTGTCGTGTCTGTTGGACACAGCAGAAACTGAACAAGTGCTACCAACACAGAACACTGCGCCAGCTGCCCATTGCTCCTGGGGCAACCACTGCATGAGCCAAGAGGTAGGGGGTAAGGACTGGGACTGCTAACGCACCTTCCATCACTTACCCAAATCCTGTCTCTACAGGACACAGTGAGAGAAAAAGCCAAGTCAGCCAGTCTCCTCTCCACTCGCTACTATTTATCTACAGCCAGAAAGTTCTGCTGGTGCTCAGCTGGCTTTCAAGGCCCACTCACAAGCCTCTGCCATCCCTCTGCAGACTGCCATCCCAAGCAGCACAGCACATTCTTAGGAAGCCGGACCCAACAATCTCCCCCATGGATGAGGAGTGGGGTGGATAGGCAGGCCAGATACGGTGTGCTTGCTTGTTCAACCTGCTCTACCATTTGTAACTCTTGAATGTTATTCTATGTCCTCTAAAGATCAGATTCCAAGCGCCTTACAAGGCAAGGTGACTAAATTTGCTCTTACTTTCTAACGTCATAGCTCCTAACATGTTCTGCACATAAGGTATTTTCAACGAACATCTGTTGATTGACCTGGAAACAATCCAAGGAACGTGTGCCATCTACCTGCACACCTCCAATCCATCCACTCATGTACTAATACTTGCCAGTTCATGTTTATCAGAACCTACTTTGCACTAGGAACAGAGAATGACACACAAAGAATTAAGAAACACAGTTTACTCTCCAGAACTTTAAGATTTATCTGGGACAAGAACAAGTCCACATCAATAGCCAAACGGCAGACTGCACTGCCCAGAAGCGCCCTCCCAAGCTCAGCCTCAGCCCAAGTTCCTCCCTCTGGAAGCACTTCTCAGTACCTCCGTCGCCCTGCTCACCCACCACAGTTTATTACGAGTGCTGTGTGTGGTTCTGGGGCCTGTTTGCTGCCCCTGCGCTGCGAGCTGTTCACACGAGCACAGGGACTTCGGCTGTATTCTGGCACTCCCAATCCTCACAGCGCCATCAAGTTAGCACTCAAACATCTGTTGAGATGGACTCACCGCCCCAACACTGGCAGAGCTTTGAGAGGAAGAACTGGGGTGGTGCACATAAAATGTTTAGCTCAACCAGTATTAGTAACATTACTATCACCGCTACTAGGCTAACAGCACCTATGGAACACCACCTCAGCTTTACAGACTTAGTCTCCTCTCTTCATAATCACACCTTCCACTCCTCCCACCAACAAGAGGCCTTTTTTTTTAAGAGGAAAAGCAACAATAAAAATAACTATAAGAGTTTCAAAACAGGTTAGCAGGAGAGTTACAATAATTAACATAATCTATTTTATCTTCATAGCAGTTGCGAACAGTATTAGTACAAACCTTTCTCTTCAGTGACCTAAGAAAAAACGAGCGGTTTAACTATATTAACCATCTTGTGTATAGTTAATTTTTTTTTCCCTTCCTTCCTTTCCCCTTTCCCCCATCACAGTTTGTCTTTTCTTTTGAACAGTTCCTTCCAATTCACAAAATCTATTGTACATTTTAGACCTTAGTTACTCCTTCAGATTCTCACACTAGGGAGACAATACAATGTGTACACATACGGGAACAGGAGGCTTTTAAATGTGAATTTTGAAGAAAAAAAACTGGCTGCTTTGGAAGACAAGTTACGGGACTTTCTCCACACACAGCAAGCACGTCTCAGAACTAAATTCAAACACTACAGTCAGCTGGTCAGCGGCTCCAGAATCCCGAGGTCGGCTGCATGGCGCTGCTGCTGCCCAGGGTGACCGCACACTTGCTGGGCTGTGGGAGCCTTGATCCAGACGGGATGTGTGAGGACTGGACAGCAGGCGCCAGAGAGCAGGGCTGCTGTTAAAGGCCACAGAGCCTCCACGGAGTCGCTCTGACTGAGCCCCACTGTGCCGTCCCACCACCGGCCAGAAGTGAGCGCCGAGGGGCGTCCCCAGGGACTCCTCACACACAGGGCACAGCCATGCCACACGTGCCCTCCACAGGACATTCTAAGAAAACAACCATCACTGCGCTGCAGGACAAGAACATTTCAAATTTTTATTTACTTTAAAATTTCCATCTCATTCTTCGAAAATTCATAGTCAAGAATGTGTTATGTAGCCAGGCATGATGGTGCATGCTTTAACCCCAGTACTCGGGTGAGGCTGAGGCAGGAGGATGACAAGTTTGAGTCAGCTTGGGCAACCAACAAGACTCTGTCTCAAAATAAATTTTAAAAGGGCAAAAATAAATAAAAATAAAAAGGTGTGTGATTCTCCCCAGCCCCCCCAAAAAAGCACACAGAGACTACTAGCCTACTCTTGAACTAAAAGCCATGGGCTGATCCTGGC